CCTCTAGGCCGTATATTTATATACGGACGGGAGGAAGCGCAAAATCGTGCAAAAGCTATTAGTCTAGGGCCTATATAAATATAGGGCCGAGACTGATAAACTTCAGGAGATCACTTTAAATTGACAAGTACATGAAGGACGACACTCCTCTTACTCCACAAATGTATACTGCATACAGGAGTGTCCTAGGTCAGATCAATTGGCTACAATCGCGAACGCAGTTCCACATTGGTTATCAATTCTCCAGGTGTGCATCCAAGGCATCATCACCGACCATTGAGGACGTTCGCGCCATTAATAAGACAGTCAGAATCATTAAACTTCATTCCGCTTAGTATGAGATTCTGGCCCCTTCGTGGCAAGACACGCATAGTTGGTTATCCAGATGCATCCTATCGCAACAATGAAGATACGTCATCCAAACGTGCGCATGTTATATTTCTTGCAGAACAAAGAGATCTTCGCCAGGGCTCATCGAGCTCGAGAGGCTCATTGGTCGACTATGAGATGCACAAGATCACCGCCGCAACCATGTTTACAACTGTTGCAGAATTACACGAACTGATGCGTTGTTACGGTTCAGCATTATTTCTTCGCGGTCTCTGGTCAGACATAACAGGCGAAATTGCAGATGTACGCATCCGCACTGATGCGAATAATCTTGTCACCACAGCATCCACAACACATCAACCGGAACAGAAAGAGACAATGCATTTGATCCACATGTTGAGAAAGGAAAGCAACAGTGGACAGATGCACGACCTTGCACATGTACGGAGCGAAAATTGCCTGGCAGATTCGCTAACCAAGCATTCAGCTAAAGCAGACGAGCTCATCAAGGCCGTCCTCACCGGCAATCTCTTGAATGTTGATGCACTATGTTGCAGAACAAGGCATTTTTGGTTGTGTGGCTAGCACACAATACGAAGCACGGACCCGACTTCATTGCCTTTGCAGGAGTCGGTTTTGCAGAATCCATGTTTGCTTATTGGGGAACCTGGGCATGATCCGCATGTCCAAATTTCATTTTGCACAATTTTCAACTCCTCAAATCCGTGATGCGTGTTTTTGCACTTGACCCATTTTGAATCTCAAGAAATATGTGTCTGCATCCGCAGCCACTTTCGGCTTACAACCATTCCGACCTTTGCAATCGTGTATGCTTGATCACCTCGAAGACATGCCGATTCTCGGACAATCCAGCACTGCGGCTCCTTCGCCGAAGCCGCTGGTGAAGAGACGGGCATCTCCATTGAAGGAATCCCCTGCTCGTGATGAGGAAGATGAGACATCCGACTGTTGCATGGAGCAGGTTGATTATGATCGAGATACCGACAACGATGATGACCTGGATGACGAAGAGCAACCTCTCGCAGGAAACCCACCACATCCGAAACTGGTTCCGAAGTCACCACCACCAACACTGAGGCTTATGTCAAAGATGAAGCCAGCGCCAAAGAACAGGAATTCCTCAATGATCCCGACATGGAGATCTACGTGAGATGCAACAGCGGTCATACACGACAAGTCGATCTCCAATCTTTTGGACGACCCCTGTACTCCGAGCAGAAGAGTGGGCCTCGCCAAGAGGAACCGGACTATGATCTTCCAACGGAATCCATTCCTCCAAGTCCGCATCCGTCAAGACCCGACGCGCCCCATGAAGACGAAGGCACAGCTCAGGCAAAGTCCAGAATGCGAAGGCCGGCACCTCAATCCATTGAAGAAGAGAGAAAGATCAAGCCGTTCGCGAAAAAGCCCATCACTTTCATGTTCCATGCTACATATGGAGAGAATCTGATCAACATCATGGAGCACGGGCTGAAATCTGGAAGATCCCAGTCAAACCCCTCGGGGAGAGCGCACATCCACATGGCACGCATCGACGACGTTATCCTTGATGACGAAGCGTCAGAAGCAGCATTGACACATGTGCCAACAGGAAGATGTATTGTTGATCCTTGCATTTCTCAAGGACCAGGACTATGACATCCGACTCTCCGAAGAGCGAACAGCATTGACAGAGCAAACCATCGAGGCGAGGAACATTGTTACAGCATTTGATCCGAGGGAACCATCATAATGAGTAACAGTTGGATCATGAAGAAAAATCTCGGCCGTGAAGACATTGAGATGCACAACAGCAAGATCCAAGAGTTCGCCGATGCCTTCTTCAAACATGTGCAAAATGACCACCGAAACAAGGAAAACCCGAAAAAGATGCATCCACAGAGACCAAGAAGTGACGGCACTCCACCGATCAGGACAACATGGAACCCTCCGGGGAGAGATCCGTCAAGCCAAAGGTCCCCATGGAGTATCCCAATCCTGAGAACCTAGACGAGTTCATCCAGGAACTCAAGGAAATCTACCTCAAAATAGAAATGAGCAAGAAGGACGCCGAGGAAGAGCTCGTGGAGACCAAAATGAACTTCATCCGTTTCATGGAGAAGTACAACAAGGATCCAAGGACAGCTCATCCTAAATTGACAGAATGCGAGAGAGCCTCATTGGCACACGTCGATCCCGATGTCAACCTCGAAGAAGAAGAGTTCTATTTCCGCCATCGAGGAGAATGTCCCACCATGGAAGAGTACCGGAAGGCACAGCCAGTATCAGGATATCCGATTAAGCTTCCACTTGGATTGAAGAAGCTTAGATCACATGACAACCCAGAAGTCATTCGAGCATTTGCCGACATCCTGGGATTGCTGATGCAGCCGACCGACCGTTCCCCTGTGGGCCATCTCAAGACGCACGAGTTCATCTCATCCCTGACGATCAACATGCTTATTATGAACCATGGAAACCTCACGAGGAATCCAATGCTGGACGGCAGGCATGGCGATGAAGGATCGACCAATCGTGAAGATGATGATGCAGAACAGCGCACACATCTTATGCCTCAATGAAGCAGACGCATTCCTCAGTCCTCAAGATGATAAATCCAGAGAACTCATCGAGACGTTCATCCGATTCGGGTACAAGGGCATCGTTATCAAGCAATGGTCATCCAGACCAATTGCATGCTTTGTCCGCGGCGGACCTTCCGCAAGAGTGGAACTATTGGCAAGACACATTTCCACAAAGAGTCAGAATTGGGGAACCACATTCGGGATGTTCAGATGTTTCTTCGGAACCGAGGAAAATTGCACTGATCCTGAATACGACATTCCGACCTCGGATTGTTTGGCAACTACGGGACCATCCATGTTTACTGAATCCAAGAAGTACATCGGACCGAGATTGCCACCACGCACCACTGTCCAAGGACACGGACGTAACAAAGAGATTGTCGTTCTCCACATCGAGCAGAGTGATGAGTATCGTGGTATGCTCCCAAAATCATCCAACAAATCACTCCTCGAGTTTGACAGCCGCCACGTAACGAGGGCAGACCTCCTGTTTGCTACCATTGGAGTTTTCCACATTCATCAATCAGCCATGGAGCAGCACGGGAAGATCTTCAGAACGAAATCGTGACATTGTACCAATGCGATGCGATCACCGGAGACGCCAACATACCTAGAGCAGACTCCAGCACGTCTTCAATCCGGCCAAAGGTCTCATGAATATCCTCATGAAGGAATATCAGAGATTGTGGAATGAAACGGAGAATCTGCCACTCGTGGACAGAATGGAGTATGCAATGGAGACTTCATGCACCCTAAAACCCATTGTCCGTCATCACCTATACATGAAGACTGGATCAGGGTATGACCGAACATTCCTAGATGTGATGATGACTTTCGTGTTTGGATGGGGCAAAACGAATATCCAGCAGGTTTTCCGGAAGGAAGAGATGAGGTTCATGAGGGATGAACAACTGGAAGCCATGCGGAACGATCCAACATCTGCCATTTTCGACTATCAGGTCTCATCCGCGAAACGCTTCAAGCACGTGAACAACGATATGTTCATGAATGGCTCACAAGATTCCGACTCGCACAGTCCATCCGCAGCGGATCTGCCGCCAGGCAACGCAACTTTGAGAGATCCAAGGAGCACCTCAAGAAGAAACAATCCTGGACTCAGCAAGACTACAAGGAGTACAACAAGCAGTACTGGGGCAATCCAAAGCAATGGAAAGACTATGGCGACTCGACCTGGAATGATTATGGAGACTATGGCAGTCAATCCGACAGCAGCCGCCGGTGGCACCGCTGATCACTTGATGAAGCAGCCACCTTTGACATTTATCCGACCGACTGAGAATACTCCCACGATCGACACTACGAACTACAACCAGATTGATCCTCACCGCCAACAAGACTATTCAGTGAGAGATCAATAGTTTCACATCCGTCCCACATGTACATAGCGTTGTGCATCACCTTTTCGATACATCTAGGTATCTCACAGAATCAGCACAGACTGTTTTCCATTTTGCTCACAAGACAAATCATCCGCGCCAAAATTGGATGAATCATTGTAACAAGACATGGCTATGGCACTTTCAAATATGGCTACGGCACGTAAGGCCAAGAAGCCAATCATACACTTTGGTGTGAAAGGTCAAAAGAAATTTGTGTCTGTTTTGTGTTGCTTTTTGTTGCACATTGACCTATTCACACACTCCGCTGACATGATGGCTCAAGGCCCTTCAAGTCATTTGTACAGTCATTCGACTCATGGTACAGTGATAAAAAGGCTTGCAGACCCCTTCACAGGATTCACAGTCAACACAAGCCACCAGGGACAATCCATCCTCTAAACCTCCATGTTGGCATATTGGACTCCCTCCGGAATAGATCCAGGGACCAAATCACGACCTCTACTACCACAGGGTACCAGTTCCCTTCTGGGATAGGCACCCCGGCAGTGGGCCTCAGGGGGTGGGGGGTGGGGGGTGGGGAGGGGGGTAACGGTTGCGGGTGATCAGAAAAAGGCCGTTTTTGTATCATGAACACCACAAATGTTTTTTGTTTCCTTTGGGTGTGTTTTTGAAGCCGCCCGGAAAGGGGTACCCTCAAAGACACCCCCATATCCGGCCAGAACACGAGCAACACATCCTACCGACAAAATGATGTCCAAGTCGAAGGGCCATCTCGCACATATCCCCAGGAGTACCACGAGCGGTCGCCGTTGACGTAGTGATCCCAACGGATTGTCACATTCTCAAGTACATGGACCGAATCTGCAACCCTCTCCTCAGGCAGTCACGCCAAATTCGTACATGCTCAAAGGATGGCTGCATGTGGGTGTGTAATGTTTGAGGGTACCCTTTGGGGGGTGGGTTCTTAAGGAATTCAAAGCCCCCTTTTTCGTTGAGGGGATCCCTACTTTGAGATACCCCTGTTCTCATCTCACAATTCATTCTGCAAGTGAGCTTCAGCGCTGTGTTCCACCCAAACATGCGCTTGAGCATCAGCACCAACCAGAATCAAGGCGATGGCAAGTCCAATACACCTGCTACAGGCTCCCGTCAGCGGAAACATCCGTTCGCCGTGAACTGCTTTGGGCCAAACATGGCTCACGGCAACCAAACTTAGACCTGGTTTCACAATCAAGCTGAATCAGCCAGCTCTCACACTTCGGCTCAACTCCACGACCTCCTGATTCAAACGACCCTCAGAAAGCCATGATATCCCAATACTGCGCTACATAGAAACCATACATCTTCTTGGGCTGTCAAGCCCAGCAAGGGCGAGCAGTCACTACAACAAAACAACACAAACAACAGGGATCCTTACATTGCCTTGTCAATGATTGGTGGTTTCCCCTTATTTTGGTAGAAAATGCCATGTTTCAAATGGGCAAAACGTATCTTTTAAGGAGCCCTGAACAAGTCCTGGCCTTTTTGGATTCAAAGCAGCCAAGGTGTCACAAGTGGCCTGACAGGTTGTATCATACAAACCAGTTTCCCGGTGGGTGAACAGTGTCAAGCTGCACTCGCTCTTTAAGAGCGCAGTGCCCGTGACCTGTGCATTAGCGTGAAACGATTTCTGAAACGCGGAAACGCGTTTAGGCGTTCACAAACCTGGAGACTTGCAAAGAAGAAACACAACAAAAAACTGTTAGCCACGCAATGTGAATGGAACCAAGAAAAACAAAAAGGCGCCGAGGCGAAAAGGTGTTTGCTAAGTGCTGGCCATGGAACGGTGTTGTTGTTTGAGAGCGCCGCGTGCTTTCCGCTCCGCCGCTAAGCGAAGTGTTGCACAGCCTCCAGTGTCTGGCATGGCCAAACAAGACCAGAAGCCTGCCGAGACTGCGGTGAGCATTGGCAAGCCTCAGACAAAACTAGAAACAGGTCCCCAAGAAGGCACGGGAAGATGCCATCCTGGTTTTCGCTGGACAGAACAAGTCACGATATTCGATTGGTCTACCCAAAACCATGTAAACCACCGAAAGGGCAAATATCCTCAGCTGGTTCTAGTACTCTCCCTTACCAACTGTCACTTACTCGAACAGGGATCGGTCACATGAAATCGCAATGGTTTCCTCTTGAACCAAAACATGTGGGGAGGGGCAACCATTGTGAAAAACCTGCACCAGTCATTTTGTCAGAGACCGCAAAACCCAGTTCTCGGGGAATTCAGAGGAGTTTGGGGAATGAACCTGGCTCCCTTGAAGAGAACCTCGCCGGTTGCTTTTGATCCCTCTACAAAAAGTGAACAACTTTTTGGGGTCTAAAGATCCGTCACGCAACATCATGGGGGCTGGGCGGCAGGGAGGGGAGGGAGCCCAAATAAGCCCTTGCTAAGCCCTGAATAAGGAATATGATTCAGGCTTTACTTGGGCTCCCGCCCCCCTCCCTCCCCTCCCCCCCCAGCCCATGATGACAATAGCACTCCAGTGAGGGGCTCCTTCCCCTCAAACCAAAATATGATGGGCGCTCCGAGCTCGCACCGCGCCTCAGCAGGGTGAATCTTCAGACAGGACATTCCAGGACGACAGTCCCACGTAAAGCAGCCAAAGGCCAACCTCGGCTAGCCGAAGCACCGGGAAGCCCAAAAGAAGCAACTCCTGGCGGCGGAGTTTTTTTGGCCTTTGCCATTTCCGCACTGTGTCTGTTCGACGCAGCGATTTATTGGGGGGCGAGGGAAAGAAGGAGAAGGCCATAAAAACAAACGAGTCAGTGTGTCTGCAGGCAGGAGTTTGCCTGGCGGCTTGTTCAATGAGTCTTTCTTGGCTCGAGTCGCAAAACAAGTCCATGAACTGAGGGCTTGCTGCTTGTTGCTGGACACGTGTTTCTCGGGTCTTGGTTTCGAGAGAGGCCAAAACCAACCACCAAACTCCGCAAGTTTCACTCGGCAAGACTTGAAGACCTAAGTGCTCCAAGGCGCAAGAAAGCACGAGGTGGCTCTCGCCAGGCCTGGAAACCGAGTGCGTCGGGTGCGTCATAGTCATGGCTCTCTTCATAATGTGGACCGATGCGCGTCTAGCCTTTTTTCTGGGTACCGTCTCTTGGTTGGTTTTAAAGGGAAGCCAAAATGAAACCAGCCATTTTGGGGGTTCAGCAAAAAAGACACACCCGCATGAATCAACCAACAGTTTATTAAAAGGGGGTGCTTTTCCCCGGGTAATTTTGTGGGAAAGCAGACCACTTTTGGAGGGACCCCCACCCCCCGATTAACAAACTGGGTTGAAATTCATATGGGGTCAACATAACTGTGGATGGTTGCAAATCCGATCGCACCACCAGAGAAATTGTGGTTGAAACCATTGCGTTTGTTGGTGTTTACAGGGGAATCGCATCAGAATAGTGTTTCGAGTAGGAACCCTCACAATTCTCTAATTCCCTGCATAAAAAGTCCAACTGAACATCGGAAAAACAAAACACACAACTGCTACACGAGCTCCGACTTAACGAATCTGCCCTACCAAAGCCTCTGCAAACCTACAGTTGAAAGGTTCAGATCCTTGATACTCGTGGAACTGGAGAGTTCCGTCCAAAGGTACGGAGGGTTTCCGAAGAAAGTTGCGCAGAGTTTCTGGCATGCGGGTGGTGCAACCAGGTCCAGCTGCAAATACCTTAGAGAATCTAGACGCTCATCCCTAACAGAATTGAAAGCCACGGAGAGCTCTTGCAGAACAACATGTGTCGCGGTTCGGAGATCTGCTGACGTAGAGATTCACATCGCCATAGTGGGAGGTTTTTGCTTCGTTCCTTCACCGGACGTGGAAATGTGTCGAAACCAGCCACTTCTCCGAAGAACGGCTCACGGAACGGCGGGGATGATCGATCATGCTTCCTTTACACATGGATCCGCTTTTCTTCCGAAGCCAGGAATCAAGCCTGCGACTAGCAAGTGTTTCTTAGTCTAGGTCCTCCAGTAGAGAGATTAGCATAAGGGTATCCTTTTTTTGTAGTCTATTTTAGGAGGGGAACCCTACCAAAAAAAAAAGGTAGAAGGGCACTACTGGGGGACCTAGTAGTGCTTTGCGTTCGAAGTTCAAACATAGAACACGGGTCCAACAAAGCCCCCAAAACCTATTGAGACCCTCCACATCCCAGAAGCCCTTACTCAAATGGCCAAAGTCAGTCAAACCTGGAATTTTCGGGTGGGCCCACCCAAAACCCTGCTCTAAGAACCGACTGCGTGGCTTTTTGCCACGCCTATTGGGACAGAAGTCCCCTAACCTTCATTTTCAGTTCTGATTGCTGGATGTGGATCCAAAATCCCTTTGGTCTCCCCGCAAAATACATAGAGGGTTGGTTTTGGATTCACCTGTGGATTCCTTGAAAAGCAAAACGAGTGGGAGAAAATGCAATTGGCGGAATCCACAGGAGCATCCACGCCCCCAAAAAAGGGCCTCAGAACAAAAGCGTGGAACCCCCCTTTTCGGTTCAAGCGGCCGGCTTCTCTTTTCTCTTTTTGGCCCCTTGCAGACTGATGTAGTCTGCGCACCCGGGTGGCCAACCTTCCCTCTTCACCCCACCTCTATGACCGCCCAGCTCGCCACCGGCGAACCACCTCCTCAGCAGGAGCACCTTCGCACGGCGCCAAACCCAGGGACCGCGACCAGTGACTGTCACAACCCACAGGTTCACTTTGCCGGACCCAAAACGACCAAACTTGCGCCGAGAAGGGACACAGGGGTTGGGCACTTGGTGGAGCTGGGACCCCCTTTGACTGAAACTGACTTCAAGAAACCAGTCGTTTTGGCACGGGGGAATGGACTCCTCCATGTTCTGTCGATTGGTTTGGCTGGGTTTCAGGGTTCTTTCAGGTTTTGTATAGGGTCGTTACCTTTTTGTGGTTTGGGTCCCAGGATTGGTCCAGCAACTCCCTCTGGTGTTTAGATTGCGAGATAGACAAACTCCAGGTATGCCGTTACATCGAACTCTGCACCCTCTTGCAACTCTGGCATTTTGCTCTTGCTTTCAAACCCATTCTAGGATACCACAGTCGTAAGCCTAAGCCAACAATCTGCAAACCAAGCCCAGACATCCATCTCGCCGCGATCAAACCTCCACCGCACCAACCTGCGCAAGAGTGCGGTAGTGTCCTGGGGGAAATTTTGAATCTCGGAACTCGGAGAGAACTCTAAGCAAAACATCAGCTAAAGAAGACTTCGAGTGTGCGACCTGCGAGAACCCATCGTACCAAGGCACCAGGATGCAGGAGAGTGCGCAGCAGCAGAATACTGCGACCTGGTGCTATGAGAATCAAGGCCCAAATGCGCGTCCCCACAAATGTGAGTTGGGGTGCAAGGGAATTCCGTTGTTCGGGATCCGCATCCTATTCTTTGATGAATCACATATCAACGTGACAGTCCCTTCAAACAGTTGTGTTCTGGGGGTCTTTCCCCACAAAGTGGAAGGTACTCTGATTCCATACAGGTATCCATCATGGGCATGGCTCAAAATTTCGGGGGCACTGCAAATGTTGATGGTTCCACAAACTGGGGGTTGGGGCACCTTACTTCTGAGCACAATGGTAACCCAGGATTGATGAACCCTGGTTGCACTGCTTGGGGTTCGTTTTGCCAATTTCCAGCTGGGACCGTGGCGCTGAATCCCAGGTTCCCGCCAAGCACCACAAAGACGCCGCCGCTCGGATAGTCGGTTATCACGCCTCGGGCTCAAAAAATTGAGCTGAGATCCAGACGGGCGCGCAGGTGCGTGCGCGCCTGCACGTGCGAGTGTGCATGCGTGTGCATGCCCACTTTTTGCGGCCCTGGTTTTGGGCACTCAAGTGTGACCTTTCGCGCCAACACTCTCCCTGCCCTTGAAGACTTAGGCTTAGTCCTGGGGCCCCCACTGTTCCCGGCATACTTCTCGAACCAAGGATGAGTAGTCGGCAGGGCGCCTCGCGACCCGCCCCGGCAAAGCAAGCCCTAAAACGCTAACCCTAAACCAACGCCAACTAACCCCAAACCAACACTAAACCAACCCTAAACACACATCCTGAACCAACCCTAAGCCAACCCTAAACCAACCCTAAACCCACCGTAAACTGCTGGATTTGCTGTTCAGCGCCCGAACTAAAGTCGACAAGAAATGCTTTGGCCGAATCCAGGCGATTGGGGTCCTTGTCATGACAGACTATGAAAGAGTTCGCTTTCCAGCGACCGACCCTGCACAAGAAAGTGTTATGCTTCAGGAATGATCTCATGGATGTCGGCCAAGTGGGAGACAACAGCTTCCCTACCCCTAGCTGCCGCTTTTCCGTGGGTGTGTGTGTGCTTTTTGAGGCCGCCGGCTTTTTTTTTGGGGGGGGCGGCTTCTCCATGTTTGGGGCTAGAAAAATCTTCCCTTACTAACCTTCATCTACCCGGGTTTTGATTGTGGCCATGGTTTAAAGGTATTTTGGTGCATATGCGCGTTTATAACTATGACACACAACAGCAAATATATGGTAAATATGATGGTTGTTGATGGTTTTTGATGGTTCTTGATGGTTTTTGATGGATTTTGATGGTTTTTCACATATTCAGACTTGATGGTTTTTGATGCAGACTTGATCCCGCCTAAGGCCGCCCAGTAGACCGCTCCGATGGTCCAAGGGAAGCCAAGGCCCAGGAAGACCTGCGGCGAGCTCCGCTCCGCGGGCCAAAAGGCGCCTGTGAACTCTTCTTCTTTTGCCCGCAAAAAAGGGAGTGGTTGCCACAAATAGGGTAACCCCACAAATGGGTTGCGCGTTGTTTGTTTTTTTTTTGGAAACAAGGACGGTTTTAACCTGCGGCCCCTCTCCTGGTGGTTGAATTTTGACCCATATCTCAAAAAGGCGATCTGCCAGCCGCCCATTTCCGACAAATGAAGTGGGCAGTGGAAACCCTCCTGTCCACTTCCATGATTGTTGAAAGGAGGGTAATGATAACCCCGGATTTATAAACCCCTGGTTGTTTTGATCGGGGGGTGTCCAATTCCTTTTAGTGGGGAGTCACACCACCTTTGGAGGGGAACACCCCCCTAATAATGGGACGGCTTTATTAATCCTGGATCAACATGACACGCTGAGCCACGGGCGTTCACCGAGTTGCTGCCGGTCACGTTGCCGATGGAGGCATCCGCCGTGGGATCCTGCAACGGTTATCAGCGCTCCGCGCCAAGAAGGCGAAAGCAGCAAATGCACACCCTCCCTAAGACACATAAAACAATCATCGGGAGCTCAGTTGCCCAGTTCGGACGCAGTCCGAAAAGGTTAACCTTTTGGCATCTCTACTAAAAATGGACCAAAATGGAAAACCAAAAGGTTAAAAGGTCGGCTTTGGACAACTGAGGGAGGGTTCGATTCAACCCGGTCAATTATCTAGGTCCTCCAGTCTTGCGAGCTTAGAATAAGTTGGTACCGACTTTTTTCAGGACCTCTATTTGAGTAGGGGAACCGAATCTCCCAACCAAAAAAGGGGTGAGAAAGGGCACCTGGCTGGGGGACCTAGTTCTGGTTCTCAACCATGGAATCCTTGTGTCCGTGCTTCTTTCTGACCCTTGTGAGCTTCAAGCTTTCCCCTCAGCTCTTGCAAGCTCAACCGTCCTGCTCTGCCGCCGTCTTGGAAGCGAAGGTGTCTGGCCTCATTTGGGTGTGGTTGCCAAAAATAGGGCAACCCCAAAATGGCTTGCCCTGGTAAATGCAAACAAGGACTGAAACCTGCGGTCCATATCCTGATTTTGACCCATACCGATACCTCATTTCGTTGTCAGAACTCGAAGTCAAGCAAATCGATCTCTCTAGCATCTGATTCCAACCATTCTTTTCAACCATCGTTCTTTCCAAAAACCAGCCATTTTTTCATGGTTTTTGGTGGTTTTCCAGAAAGAAGGATCCCTGGAAAGAATGTGGAAGTCACCCCCAGGTGCCATTTTGACCCCCCATTTTAGTCTATTTTAGTGGGGATTGGGATGTTTACCCCAAGTACCATTTTGACCCCCCATTTTCGGCTTCCTATTTTAGTGGTTGGATCCAATCGGATGTTCACTGGAAGCACGATTTGGGTTTTGACCCATACCCATTTCGTTGCCGCAGCTCGAAGTTTTCCAACCGATCGATCGATCCCAAAGCGCCGACCCTCTGAGCGGAGGGCAGACTGGTGCCCAGAGCCACCAGGGATATGGCAGTGATCGCGTCGGGCATGTTCACCACGCCTGACCCGCCAAGTCCACAACGCCGGCTGCTCCAAATTGTGGGAGCCCCGCATTTTTTGGCCGGTATTTACGGGGGAAAAAAGCAAACGCGGCATTCTGGGGCACCTCCAAACCCCTTCGTAGCGGAAAAACCCATAGTGCGGTCTGGTCCTGAATTTTGGGCGTCACACCCTCAAAATCGCTCCCTCTCGACCTTTTCAAGCGAGCAGGTTGTGCATCCGCAGAGCTCCGCCAAATCGCCTGAATCACATGCACCGTGCACCCGAGCCACGCGCGGCAGCTCAGCGGCAATCGAGTTCCGTCCTGGCCTATGAGTGCCGTGACTGCCCCAATCATCATGAGGGAGGTGAGGAAGCAAAGCCACCCTCCGCAGTAGTCGACCTAAGAAACCGAAAACAGGCCGCGAACTTCAAAAAGATCGGGTGGATATGAAAAAAAAAAAAAAAAACGAAATTTGATGTCCACGGGTCGAATCTCCAAGTCCCAACAAAGATCTGCGCCTTGCGCGCGCCGAGTCCGGGGCTGGGGGAAGGAGAGCGAAGATCACCTGCGCGGAAATCTGCCCACTTTTGACCCCAAGCTCCTAAATATCAATATCATCAAATTCAAAATATTATTGTCTTTATTTAACAATTCATTTCATATTATCTAATTATGCCAACTATTCCCAAGACTGGTCGACTTTTGATCCAAAACCCATGGGTATGGTCGTAATCCCAGAGGCAAAGAACTTTGGAAAGCCGGAGATCCGCATCCAACGGCTGGGATTGTCCAAGTACCCTCCAATTACCCGGGTTTTGATTGTGGCTCAGGTGGCTGTGGGTCAAAACCAAGACCATTTTGGGGCTTTCGGTGCACCACCCCCTTTATTTTGGTGGGGATTGGGATGCTCACTGAGAATACGGGATTTTGACTCATGGACAGGTATGAACGAGGGCACTCCTTTTGCCCTCAAAGCCTTCCACGGCATTGTGATGATGTGGAAGACCCAGGCCGTGACCAGCTCGCAGCCCTGCACCGCATCATGATGCAGGTACTTGGCCAGGGTTTTGTTTATTTGCTATTTTTTGGGGGAGGGATTTGAAGGGGGTGGACAGAATTTGGGGATCTTTATTGTTTGTCTTTAGGGACTCTTTGGTGGACATTCTTTGTGATTCATGTCCACCAGAAACGATTCGATTCGTAGCCAGTCTTCGGCTGCGGCCCAAGCCTTCACAGTTCCAAGTGGCTCAAACGCTGGCTTCACTTAGTTTGGCTCACTGCCTGTTGAGGTGTGGCTGCGGGTCAAAACCAATGGGAGAACATTTCAGGGTAGGTGAATTCACAACCCATTTTCTGGCTTCATTATTTTACCATAATCAAAGTCACCCCCTAAGTTGTGGGTTAAAGAGAATTCACCCCATTTTCTGACTTTGAGAACCCCCAGAAACCGTCAAAACAATGAGCTCAGTTTGTAGAACTTATTTTAGTGGTTATCCATGGGCCATGTGACTAAGGAACCACGACTCGCCTTCTGGGTGCCTTGTGCTGGTGCTCGTGCCTAGCCATAGGTGTCCTTTTTGGAACATAGATGGGTTTCCCTGCCAGATGAGGAGAAAAATAAAAAGAGAAGGGGGAAAAAAAAGCTAAACCAGGAACCGCCTTCTATTTTTCTAAGCCAACCAAAACCAAAAAGGACAAACCCACAGGGCGCAGCAATGACTCGGGCGGCAAAGCCACGACTCCAGCGGAGGCCTCGGCTTCTTCGGTCTGGAGGAAGATGGCGTCGATGAACTGGTCCTGCGAAGAGGCGAAGAGGCGAAGAGGCGAAGAGGCGCGAGTCGTATCAAGCGACGGTGTCGAAGTCCCTCACCCACAGCCAGCACAGCGAATACAATTAGAGAGCTTGCTGTTCACTTTCCTCGCTGCTCAAAAGGTGCCTTGCAGTGATCAATTCACAACTTCACGCTGATGTGCCCCTCATGTGCTGGGTTCCTCCTGGCTTTAAGCCAAGCCTTCAACAAAGCTAGGGAAGCGTTGCCCACTGGCCTTGGAAATAAAAGGTTGACCGTCCGGGCCCAGATCTGGTTGATTCGAATCACGCTGTCCTTCCAGTTCTCTCTGGCCATGACCTGCACTTCCCAGTTCACCTTGAACGCCTGCGAGATCGCGGCCGTCTCCGAACCCACCGGACGCTGGCAAGTGGACCAACCCAGCTTGCTCGCTTCAAAGTCTCGGGGGCCTTTGTATGGGCCTTTGCGCGCCCTTCAGCCCCTTCAAAGGCCTTTTTCAGGGGCTTTTTTTTCAGGGCAATGGTCCAATGCAATGCAACTGGCGACCATTTTCCCTCGAGCGGCTCAGATCAATGAGTTCAGCTCGCACCGCCGTGAACTGGGAATTCAAATTCAAGCGTGCCCTTCGTTTTTTTGACCAGCCGAGCCCTTATGGCTGTGGCTCAAAAACCCGGTACCAAAATGGGTTGCCCTGGTAAGTGGAACCAAAGACTAAAACTCGCGTAACCCCTCCTGTTTAAAATTTTGAGCCACACCCATATAGGTGTACGTAGTCCCCTCCGTTTCCTTCACACAGCGAAGGGGAATTTCGGTTCCTGCGCTTGTGCCTGTAGGAACTTCTCGGTTCGTCGCTTCTCAACGGTGTCGGTGCCGATGACGATGGTGCAAATGCAGCACTCCTCACAGTGCCAGTCCAAATGAGTCGCAATCAAAACCTGGTACAAAAATGGTGAACCCAGAGCCATGTAAAGGAGAAAGAAGGCGGCCGCAGCTATTTATTGTTGGGATCGTCCCTTACTAACCTTCATCTACCCAGGTTTTGATTGTGGCTCAAATGGCCATGTCCGCAAGGGATATTCGCTTTTCTTCGCATCACTTGTCTCTCACACCGAACTTCATGCCTACTTCTGTGTGTGTCCCGTGATCTCACCAACAATAACCCGAACTCATGACAGTTGCAATCTCTGACTTCCAAACGGCCCCCTATTTGCGATGTTTGGTTCGTGAGTCCGCCTCCTGGTCACCTGGTTCTTCGGTTTCCCTGGCCCTTCTTTTCCGCGGTGAGAGCTCTTCCGTCTGGATTTTTTTGCCGGAACACAGGCTGGCAAAGGGTTACGAGCCCCATGCTTTTTGGCATGGAACCCCAAGAAGAAGTCCCCAAAAAAAAACTCCTCTACAACCTAGGGTAGTTTGGGACTTCCATGCTTGAGTCCAAGGGCCGCCTGCGCGACAGCATGGAACTTCACGAGAAGAACGAACAACCAAAGCGCTGGAACAGCGCTGCGTCCGCAAGGAGCGTGAGCCAAGGGCGGAGCCAAGGGCGAGGGCCCAAGGGCGGAGCCAGGGGCGGAGAGCAGGAGAGAGAGGAGCGAAGAGTGGGCAGAAGTGTGGAAAAGAGAGCAGGAAGAAGAGCAGAGCGGAGACAATGGTGGGGAGAAGAGCGGAGAGAGGAGCGGAGTCAAGAAGAAGAGGGGGGAGCAGAGCGCATGGCAGAGCGAAGAGCGGGCAGGCCTTCGAGCCTCGGTGCCACCAAAAGTCACTTTCCGAAGCCCAACTTCTATGAACAGCAGCGGAGGTGCACGCAGACATTGAGAGTTGTACAACTCATTACTTGCTGAGCGAGAGACTTGCTGATGCTCAGTGGGGAATGAGCGAAGGAACCCAGGAATCCCCGAATAAATAAACCACCAGTTGGATGGTTGATAAAATTCATTCCAACTCATTCCCTGAGCACCAGGAGAGACTCCTGCTAAGCTAGCTTTCGTGCCAAGAATTGCAGAGCCCGCTCCGAAGAGCTCAAAAAGCCCATGGCTTTCCTTGCCGTTCACCGCGGCTCGGCTTTTTTGGAGCACTCGGATTTCATGGCGTTCTCTTCCCTTTTCCGGACGCTCCAGGAGAAACTACCTAACGGTTTCCCTCCCACCAAACATGGAACCGGGGAAGCACTTTGCGCTTCCGGCGATCCAGGCTTCGACCCGAGCGCTCCTCGCCCCCGTCGGTGTGCGCCGCAAAGGTGGCGCCCCCGGACCTCAGTCGCAGGGGCTTCGGCGCCCAAAGGAAAACCAAGGGAAAACCAAAGGGAAGATCAAGGTGAAGCTGGGAAGGGCGCTAACCCCAGATAAATGTTCGTCCGAATGTGAAGGTACCGGGGCGAAACAACGGAATCACCCTTGGGACCTGCGTCCAGTGCCGCCAATCTGTTTGTGTGTGTGTGTGCGAGCGCACATGTGCTGCAAGCGAAGACTCAAGCCCGCATATTATTCACCGTTTGGCAGACCCCATGCAACTGCTCCTTCGGCGAGTTTGGGAATCCACTTCAATGGGTATGTGACAAAATGAAGGGACTCAACCCCTTTGAGCTACCCTGAAACGGTTCCCTCGCAACTTTGACACGTCGCAGGAGATCTCCTACATAGGGTGGGTTTGTCAAAAAAAAAACGGGACCCTTCTTGGTACTCCCTCCCAAAGATGGCCGTTTCGGCAGCACCAGGGGCCCCTAGAGGCCATATGTCCGACGGAGTGCGAAAGCCATCCTGAGCACAGCACGCCTCTTCAATGTACAGTCTGAAGATGGAGAAGCTGTCCGTTCGGCCTCAGGCTTCGGAACTTCAGGTTGTAAACTCCGGTCACCGCGGACCGCAACGGCTGGCTTGTGTCATGTGGATTTGCCTGATTTAACGATGGCAAACTCCTGACTTGCGAGGATGAACAACGTCAACTTCCTGATTGTCATGCCGGCTTTGAGCATCGCGGCCATGAAGCGAACGCTTCATGCACCACGGGGCGTGTGTGCTCTGTGTCATGCTTGAATCTAGTGCGATAAGGCATAGGCCTTTGGGCTTGATGACAACGCTGATCTCTGCTTCAGTCTAGCCGGAGTGCACAAGAAACAAACTCAAATGTGGCGCGACCCTCCGTTGCCCGCCAATGTTTGCAGGAATAACCCTTTCTGTGATACAATCTCATTGTTTTTGCCATGATCAAAGCCACCCCCACCACTTAGGTGGGTTGAAGGGAAACAATTACCAGGGTTCCATTTTGGTACCGGTGTTTTGAGCCATACCCACTTTGATAGCTTAGAATAACCCCAAACAATCGCCTCCTGGTCGTCAAGCTCCAGCGTTCCAGAGGTCTCGTCGTAGTCGATGCCGTGAATCGCAGTCCCATCTTCCGTGTGGTACTCACAGGAAATCTTCCTGGCCGATTTGCGCAACTCGAAAGCAAAAAGCCGCCGGCGCCACGGACCAGCACCACAAGAGAAATGGTCCGGGTTTTTGCGGGAGCTCCCTCCCGCGCCCCTCTTAACTGGGCTAGGTTGCACTTTTTCACTGCACAAGATAGACTTAAACCCAGTGGCTGATTTCCCGCAAAGGGAAACCCCTGGGTTTAGATCTATCTGGGTAAAAAAATTAAATTATCGCTGGTGACTTCACAGAACGGAACAAAGCAAGCCAGCTGGGCCCTTTCGCACCTGCCTGCCGAAGAACAGTGATGTTGACCACCTGCCGGCTGGAAGGGAATGAACCGAAACAACTTTTGGAGGGGTCCCGCCATTGGCGGAACCAACCCAAAAAAACTCCTTTGGCGGTCGCCCCATTTTCTGACAACCCTTCTTCGCAGTCTTGCACCGAGAGACAGCCTTGTCATCCGTAAAGTCGTCTTTGACCTGCGCAGAGACGATAGCAGTCTTCGACAAATGCCTATAGGTGCATCCTTTTTGGATGGCAAAAACTCCCATTTTGGTTGGCTTCAAAGGGAAACCCAAGGGCAACCCACTTCTTTGGGGCAACGGGAGCTATGCTGAGACCGGAGCCTTGATTTCGGAGTGTCTGAAAGCCAGAACGCCCACTGCGTCGTCGTCCACAATCCTCACCTCGCGCCACCCGCCGACTCGCGCAAGACTCCGCGACTCGGGGGCGAGAGACGTGACTTGACTTGCAATTGAGCGCCCAAAACCCATTGACTTTTTGTACCAAGATGGTCATGGAAACTCGGCTGCTTTCTGCTCCCCTGCCAAAAGTATAACATTTAGTCTTAGTGGTTTAATGGAAAACCCTTAGTTGCAAAAAGTTAAAGTCCTAACATCCAAGCAATATGCACCAAAGGAGATGTATATAGGCCTTGCTGTGATCGTTATTCAACCAGGGAATAGAACCACCTGCAAAGATTGCCGATAGGGGTTCTGGGCACTACTCAATTACATCAAAGCCACTGACTCACATCAAGCCAACGCTGCTGACTCAGCGCAGGAGAGTCTCAAAAATAGAAACCCTCAGATTTAATGGAAAGGGATTCTGGCCGGTTCCCCCTTTTGGGACTGGCAAAGACAAGCTCCAATGCGGGACTTTTGTGAATGCGCTTACTCCCGAGGTGTCCTTTTGATGGTGGACTGTTTTGGTGCGGATTGAAAGGAAAACCCGAGCGAAGCCACTCGTTTCGAAAAGCTTCCCTTGTCCAAATGACTGGATCCCGTGAAGCAACATCCTCCAAAATCCCTCTACACCATCCCCAAGGCTTGCCGCAAGAGTAACTTGTTGTGTTGCAACTCCTCAAGATGCGACCGCTTTAAGGACTCGGACATAGGCCGAAGGATCCTGTGGGTCTTTTCCAAGAAACCATCAACAGCTCCATGGCGAGCGAGAAATCTCAGCGGGCGCACATGTGCCGTTGGATTCTTCCCGAGCGTGGCCACAGCCTCAGCATCCAAACGGGCAAACCGGGGCCTGACAAAAAGGAAAGAGGCCTTTGGGCCAGAAATAAAACAGGTCGAACGAGCCCTGCTCTCCCAGGATTTGTGGGTGAGCCCATCAATCTCGATTCGACTATGATTCTTACTCAAAGCAAGAAATGCAGTGCCAGTAACATCAAGTGCACTCTTTTCGCCGAGCAAAGCCCCGCACGTTGAAATCCCCCGTCACAGGACTGTGCAACTCGATGTTGAAATAGGTGTCAGGTTCGTGCTCGTCATCATCCAGGATCTTAATCATCAACAGCTTTTCCGTGTCATCCTGGGCCAACCCCAAGGAAACCACTCATTTTGGGATATGTCATGTCCCCTTGGCGGCTTTCACTGTCACCTGTTTGTCCCATTTAACGTGAGTTTCTTTTGGTAGAGGTGATGTTTGGAGGGCAAATATAGAGAACCAGGGCTGATGAGTTTGATGCTTAGGGGGTGCACAACTGCTTCTTACTTACAACTTCATTATTGCTCACTGCCTCAACTTTCACCTCTTGCCTCTTGCCTGCACATGTCACCTCGAATCGGAAAACTCCGGCAAACGCAACTCACGCGACTCACGCGAATCCGTTCGTTCCGCGGTCCTCGTCAAACTCTATGACTCCTTCAGAGGCGATGAAGTCCTTTTTATCCTTGGCCGTGACCTCGACAGTTCTGTACCTGCCGCTGCCAAACCCCACGTCTCCCCCCGAACACCAGCAGCCAAACACGGCCAAAAATGGATGTCTCTTTCACCAAGTGTCTTTCACCAAAACAAAAAACTAAAATGATGTTTTTTCCTGAAAACAAAAGGGCACCAACCCAAAAAAAGGACAGAGCCATATCCTTTGGGTCGCTTTATCAGAGTCCAAGGGCTAACTCCAGGTTCCATTGTCCATGTTCAACCCGTTCTGAGTCCAAGCCCGAGTATTCTTGGGTCACCATCAAAACCTGGCACCTGGAAAACCAAAAGAAAATCTTGGGCGGATATTGGCACCCAGGCTTGTGGGACTGTTCCTGACTTCAGCCAGGTTTTGATTGTGTTGGTTGAAGGGCACATCACACTGCCCTTTCCAAGCGGAGCTGTCGTATCAGAGTCGCGGCAAATCATCAGCTCCTCCGAGGAACATCTGGCTCTAAGTGTTTCTCGCCCACGTTTTCAGCCTGCCTTTGGCATGCGGCAAAAATCAAAAACAAAAACACAAAGCACCAAAAAAAAACAGGTTCAGCGTGTCTTTCACCTAAAACAACAGAAGAATGTTGACGCCACCACGGACCCAAAAGGAGTTTCGAGTTTCTCCCCAGTCCAAACGGTCGCAGCTCTCGAGGCAGGAATACTCCATGTGCCTCGTGTCGCATGGGATCTTCGGGTTGCTGGCTGGGTGGAACCCGGAACCCGGGACCGAGCTCCAGCTTCCCGTTCCCCTACAGCCTTGGGGAAGACATTTGCTGGCCCCGGGTTCCGGGTTCGAAAAGCCCCTGGAAAAACGGGTTTTCCCCTACAGGGGGGTTGGGAAAGGAAGACAGTTGCTGGCCCCCAGCTTGCCCCATGTCTCCCGTTTAGACATGGGTTTTCACCCACGGACGGGAGCTGAGCAGCCGGCTCAAACGTGAAGGTGACGTTGGTCTGCGCCGGGCCCTGCGGTGACCAAATTCCACTCATGTGAGTCACAATCGAAGCCCGGTACTAAAATGGTCGTAATCCCAGAACCATGCTTCAAGAATTCAGAAGGCGGCCGCAACACTATTTATGGGTGGGATCGTCCTTTACTAACCTTCATCTACCCAGGTTTTGATTGTGGCCATGGTTTAAAGGTATTTTGGTGCATATGTGCGTTTATAACAATCACACATAACAGCAAATATTTGGTAAATATGAACTCACATATTCTATGTTTGGATGCTACTCCCCTCCGGCAAGCACTGAATCGGCAGCCTCGTCGGTCAAGTTCTGGATGGGTACCTTGGCAGCAAACCACAACAACCTGTCCACCATCGAATCACAGATGGCCAACCATGCCCATGCCAATGAGCTAAGGCAGCGCACTATCTTGGAGTCTGACTTTCGCCTAGTCAATGCAGCACGTGAGCCCCGGACAAGACTAGCTGTTTTCGCAAGCAAACGTTGGACAGTGTGCGGCCCACGTTGTGAGACACATGGGCCTACAATGTCCTCCCTCTAACAAAAAGAAATGGTCAGTAGCACGAAGTGTCTAAGGTTTTTTGCCCCTCGAAGCAGCTTTCAGATCTTCCCTCAGCAAATTTCCCCTCGGTTGCACAGAAAGCATCTCCAGGTTTTTCCCAACAACACCAGTCGTGAGTTGCTCATGCGAGGCAAAGCGAGGCACCTCGTCAGCACATGCGGAGCTTCAACAAAGAACCGAGACCAAGGCCTGGCCTAAAAGGCAACACATTGGAGAATCGAGACCCAAAACGAGCCAAGGCCTGGCTTAAAATGGGAAAGCAAGCAATTGGACGACCAAGTACCATTGATTTTGACTTACAGCCAAATGGAGGGAGAAAAAGACTTGGACGACAAAAATACCTTTTCGACCCCATCCTCGTGGCGGCATTTTCCGACCCAAGGGCTTCACAAAAACCCGCTGAGCGCTCGCTCGCCTGCCACCGCCGAAGAGCTTCTCGGTGGCCGCCATCCTCCGTGCTGCCCGGGAGGGCTCTTCCTGGGGTCGCCGACGCTCCCAAAAAATGGGCGCAGTCGCCTTGGAAGGGTTGGGTGTGCGGGTTTTGGGCTTGCGGGTTTAGGGTTTAGGGTTTAGGGTTTAGGGTTTAGGGTTTAGGGCTTGGCCCCTCCAACACGGGCTTTCCTGGAAGGTGTCCCTGGTTCCCGAGGGAAAACCCTTTAAAAAACCGCACCGAAATGGGGCAACTCGGAAAAAACAGCCCCAAATCAAATGGATCCAACTGTGAAGTCACCCACGCAACTTCAGATACGCAAGGCGAAGGCGCGGTAAGGCCAATGGTGTCATTGAAATGTCATCACAATCAATTTGGGGCAACCAATGTGGAAGCATCAAAGGCGGTTCCTCCCTCCAAACATTCGCCTCACCACAATGATTGTCCAATGCTCGAGAATGGGACACATTATTTGAATTTGCACGTCCTTTCATCTGGCACGTAGTTGGCTTGGTCATGTAAGCTCATGCAAGCTTGGGCTTCGGGATATGCAGGCGATGACAAGGCATGTGCGCAAGCACTTGAAAATGCTAAGGCCTATACAACAGCACCAAACTCTTCCTTGATGAGCTTCATAACTTTGTCCTGTGCACCGGCGAACCCTCAATGGCCCTCAAGGCTTGCGCAAGTCTGAAGCACGAGAAAGCACGCCGGCGGCGCATCTGGAATGCCCGTGCCATGCTTCTTCAGGATCCGCATTCGCATGGTCGCAATCTCCTGGCGCGCGCATTTGAGACCGCAGCTGCCTTTCTTAAAATTCGAACCTCAAACGGGTGTGTGTGTGTGTGGATGGATGGATGGATGGATGGATGGATGGATGGATGGATGGATGGATGGATGGATGGATGGATGGATGGATGGATGGATGGATGGATGGATGGATGGATGGATGGATGGATGGATGGACGCAAGGACGGACGGACGGACGCACGAACGGACGGACGGACGGACGGATGGATGAATGGATGAATGGATCGCTGGATCGCTGGATCGATGGAACGATGGATCGATGGATCGATGGATCGTTGGATCGTTGGACCGTTGGATCGGTGGATCGGTGGATGTGGATGTGGATGTGGATGCGCTGGTGCGTGGGTGAGGTGCGTGGGTGCGTGGCTGCGTGACTGGGTGCGTCTGTGGGTGCGTGCGAAAAAAGTGCCTGCGTGCCTGCGTGCCTGCGTGCCTGCGTGCCTGCGAGCCTGCGTGCCTGCGTGGATGCGCGCGTGCGCGTGGGCGCATGCGTGCGTGCGTGCGAGTGTGCGTGTGTGCGTGTGTGCGTGTGTGCGTGGGTGTGCGTGTGTGTGTGTGCGTGTGTGCGTGTGTGCGTGTGTGTGTGCGTGTGTGCGTGTGCGCGTGTGCGCGTGTGCGCGTGTGCGCGTGTGTGC